TTACCAACTTTTAAGTGAATAATAATACTTTTACTTAAGTACAGGTTTGGAATACTCCACCCACCTCTGGTGAAGATTCAGGCATGCAGTTTGAAATATGCTAAATAGTGAGCTTAGCCAATTAATGTCCATAATGTGTATAATGTGTAATGCAGTGGTCACCAGCCTTGGTCCTGGAGACCTACCAACCTGAGTCTAACTCCCACCACAAGCAGTTAATTAACTTCTTCAGAAGTCTTTGATTGGCTGGATCAAATGCATTAGTGTTGAGTAAGAGGGGGGCATGTTTGATGCAGGTTGTAACCAGGGCTGGAGACCACTGCTTTAGTGCATATGGTCTCTGAGCTGGTCTGAGCACAAATCGCTGATCAAACCATATGGGTGTGACTGTATGAAAAGTATGAAAAAATATGTAATGAAAGTAATTCAAATGGATAAGATGTTCATCCATGTTATAATTCTACACAACTGTATCACGTTAGACTAATTAGAATTAGTGCTGTGTCATTTTTCCTAATCCCACTAAATTTAGTTGCACATGAATGGGTTAATAATTAATAAGTATTAATAAGTATTAACTGCTAGCTTGTAGCTCCAGTAGATAGAAAAGTAAGGAAGCAAACTTCAGACACCAAATCTGCCTTGGCCAATTGACTACATTTGCAGTTGCATGCATGAGAATGAGCGAGTGCAGAATATCCAAGATAATGAAAACCTTTGCTATATGAATGCAACCATTATAACTGGTATTAATGAGCGTCATAATGAGAATGAATTGTCTGGGTTGCATTGACAGATTGTGATAACATACTGCTATTAGAGAGGCATCTCCTTTCAAAGAAGCAGGGGAGAGCAGTGAGGACGCCCCACCACACACACACCCCCTCACCATCACCACACACACACACACCAGGTTGTGTAACAGGGTCTGTCCCCCTGACGTCAGCCTTAGGCTCGCATAACAAGCCGGCCAGCTCCGCAGTCTCTGGGGAAAGAGAGAGAAAGAGAGAAGGAAGATGATGATGATGCAAGTACTAGGCAAACCCAGGGATTCCCTCATACCTGTTAAGTTTGTGGAGTTAAAGATAAGCCCCCTCACTGCAGACCAGGACTGCAGCGGTAATGAGATTCAGCCACTGCAGAGCCTTATGCAACCAGCCTAGACCACACACTCTGATATGTACTTGAGATACACTCACACACATAAAAAGTAGGCAGTAATAAGTAATTAAGAAATCAGTTTGAAAAAAATAAGTGCAGCTTTACAGATCTCCAAAAAGGGACTTGCACAGATTTCTCCAAATTTTCACAAAACTAAACCATAAAGATGTAAACAGAGTCATTCAGAGTGGTTTGGTGAGAAATGCTCTGTTGTAGAGAAACTTACTGAGCCAGAGTTGTTCTCAGTGGTGGTGATAGGAACGTGTAGGTTCACTGGAGGTTTAGGATAGTAAATAAAATATATTTTATATTCTATATTTGTGTTGTAGTCAGGGTGACCCCTGGTTCCTATCATCACCACTGTAAAGAGTCAGCAAGGAGTCAGTAAAGTTTTCTATAATGAACCATTTCACACCAAACCACTCTGAATGACTGCCTATATCACAATGATTGAATTATAGAGAAGTTTTGAAGCATCTGTGGAATTCCCCTTTTAACATCACTGACTAGTAGGGTTAACTTCAGCACTATTGTTTTTAATATTATTTAACTTTAACGTTCTAAAAAATAGGACAGTTTAACGTCCTGCTTTTCTGACCTTTTAAATTACATGTGCTGTATTTCCCAATTTGTGCATACATAAAGTACAGTTAAAGCAATACAAACAGCAGCAGACATTAGGCCACATGTTGCTCTAGCTGTAATGAACGTTCCACATTTTAACATGTAGAAAGGAGAATTTAGAAAGTCTTTCTGAAACAGAGGTCAGCAATGTAATACAGACCAAAACAGTGGTTAGTAACTAACAAAAAGTGTACAATGATGCAAAAAGTGAATGCTTTGAGAAAGTCAGCCAATTTTTCAAAATTTCTGTATAATTTCATCATCAAGAGTGAACAAAACAAAGTCATTCAGAGTGGTTTGATGTGAAATTGTTGACTGTAGAGATGTTTACTGACTCTTTACAGTGATTTCTTTACAGTGGTGGTGATAGGGACCAGGAGTCATTACGTCTACAACACAAATATATTGTAAACATATATATACTTTATTTACTATCCGAAAACGATCCAGTGAATCCACACATCCCTTCTGAGATTTATATGTAATGTTGGTGATGGTAAAATAGTGGCTATAACAGCTTCCACTCTTCTAGGAAGCTTTCCACAATATTTTGGAGTGTGTCTGTGGGAATTTTAGTCCATTCATTTAGAAGAGCAATTGTGAGGTCAGACACTGACGATGGACGAGAGGGCCTGGCTCGTAGTCTTCATTCTAGTTCATCCCAAAAGTATTTGATGGGGTTGAAGTCAGGGCTTTATATGGGACAGTCAAGTTCTTCCACACCAGACTCACCCAGGCATCTTTATGGACCTTGCTTTGTGCACTGGGGCTCAGTCATGCTGGAACAGGAAAGGTTCTTCCCCAAACTGTTCCCACAAAGTTGGAAGCATAGAATTGTTCAAAATGTCTTGTTATGCTGAGGCATTAAGATTTCCCTTCACTGGAACTAAGGGTTCTAGACCAACCCCTGAAAAACAACCCCATAGCATCATCCCTCCTCCACCAAACTTTACAGCTGGCACAGCGCAGTCAGGCAGGTAACGTTCTTCTGGCATTTGCCAAACCCAGACTTGGGCATCAGACAGCCAGATAGTGAAGTGATGATTCATCACTCCATAGAATACGTTTTCACTGCTCCAGAGTCCAGTAGCAGCGCTTTACACCTCTCCGTCCGACGCTTGCCATCGTGCTTGGTGATGTAAGGCTTGCATGCAGCTGCTCGGCCATGGAAAACCATTCCACGAAGCTCCCAGCGCACAGTTTTGTACCGATGTTGATGCCAGAGGAGGTTTGGACTCTGCAGTTACTGATTCAGCAGAGCATTGGTTTGTTTTATGCACTATGCTCCTCAGCACTCGGTGACCCGCTCTGTAACTTTACATGGTCTGACACTTTGTGCCCGAGTTGCTTCCATTTTTCAATAAATACCACTCAACGGTTAAATGAACAGGAAAAAAATTCACAAACTGACTTGTTGCAGTGGTGGCATCCTATTACAGTACCACACTCAAATTCAGTGAGCTCTTTAGAACGACCCATTCTTTCACAAATGTTTGTAAAGGCAGACTGCATGGCTAGGTGCTTGATTTTATACTCCTGTGGCAATGGACTGAATGAAACACCTGAATTCAATGATTGAGAGGTGTGTCCCAGTACTTTTGTCCATATAGTGTAGCTTTGAGAGCCATATGGTTTCTATGAACCACTGCTGTGAATTCTGACTCTGTAAGCTTCTCTCGAATAAGCGATTTTACATGAAACCAATCTGAATGACTCTGTTTACATCTTTACCACATAATTATGCAGAAATTTTGAAAAAAGCAGAATTTGCCTTTAAGGCAGATCATTAAAAATGTAGAAAGTATCAGTAATTCAAATCTAGCTGAATAACACATACACAATCACATGTAATTAATGTAATTTGTAACCATAAACAATCCTTCAGCTGTGTGCTTGCCTCCTCAGAGACACTGTCCTGTAATATTCACTGTATTACTGTTTCATTGTACATTTAATTGTTTTAATTGGTCAATATGATCAGGGAATTCATTACAAGAGTATAACATACACTATACTGCGTGCAACAATCTGGTCTTGCAAATTCCAACAGCGTATGTTGGTGAACAGTGACACTCAGAGGCACATGAGAGTACTGCACTCGAGCTGAAGACCACCTATATTAATTTGCAATTGTACAGAAAGCCCTGTGGTTATTTACCTGGTTTTAATAAGCCAGTGTACTGCAACATTTATTACAAACTGTGCAACACGCGATTATGCATTAATTATACATAACTTATATAGTAATTACTGTCACACCACATTCCTGTACACTGTATGTCCAAAAGTATCCTCCTAATTAGAGAATTCTTCTACTTTACATTGCACTTACTGCTGACACAGACATTCAATTGCACACACAGCTTGTATAATCTCTGTAGACAAGCACTGCCAGTAGAATGGGACACTCTGGAGCAGTCACATATGAACCTAAGGTCACCATGCACAATGCCAAGTATCAAATAGAGAGGTATAAAACCCCCGGCATTAAGCATTGATTGGAGCTCCAACCAATAAGTTTGGGATAAGCTGGAGTTGTATTTATGATCCAAACTAGTCACCCAACATCAGTACCGGACCTCACTAATGCTTTTGTAGCTGAATGCAGTCAAAACCTCACAGCAATGTTCCAACATCTAGTATAAAGCCTTCCCAGAAGAGTACAGGCTGTTACAACAGCAAAGGAGGACAAACTTCCTATTAATAGCCTTAATTTCAGGTAACACTGGATGAGCAGGTGTCTACAAACTTTTGGACATATAGCGTAGCCATTCAACACATAAATAAAATATTTTAATAAATAAATCAATAATAAGAGACGGTCACTACAGAAGTGCTGTAATTGTCTTTATTTTGCAGCGGTTGTAGGTCAGTCAGTATGGATTCTTCTGACATTACCATTTCTTCCTCATTCTCTATAACAGTGGCGTATTCACAATTGGCACAAACAATATATTAGTGCTGAATATTCTCTCACAATTTAAAGTCCTATGCACGATATACTGATCTCAAATACAGCAGAAAATATTTTCAAAAGAAAAAGATCTAAATAAGAAAGAGGTCTGAGTAGGCATTACGATACTAATGCTGTGATGCTGAATATATGTACCATTTCGACTTCAGTGCAATCCCTTGGCAAACTCAAAAACTTCAAAATTCAAATCACGCTTTACAAACAAGAAACAAAAAAGAAGAGGGAGGAGAAAAAAAAAAAAACAGAAAGGGGACTTTTTTTAATGACTTTACTTGAACGCTACTTCAAAACACTGACATAATAAGACCATAAACATCATAGCTGATGTCATGCGGTCACGTCGTGACAGATTTTGTTCAATAACTGCAATGACGGATGCCATAATGTTTGATGTCACAATAGCTTATGTCGCATACTAATTTTCACTAAGCGCACTCGTCATGACTGTGAACAGTGAAGGTAACATGACACTGTTATATTACTGGACATAATTTTTCATGACAGCATATGACATTTTTGTGTCAGTGTTACGTCGCAGGGTTTAGGTTAAGTGTTACCATGACTTCCTTCTTTACCATGTAGCTTCTATAAACTACATAACTGTGAGATTAAAAAAAAATCCCTTTATCCTGTAAGATTCCTTAAAAATGTCAGAAAGTGAGATTCTCAGCACCAAGTACTGACTCTATTCTTGGTTTCTGGGACTTGCGATGTTTCTGTATTCTAATAAAACACAAGAAAAAAAGGAAATCATAGAGACCATATGAAAAATTAAAAACAATGTCCATCAACACACACAAAGAGCACTTTTTACAAGACTTCCTTTACAACCTTTCCTACTATAAAAGTGACAAATTATAAGTTAAGATTGAAAAAAAAGATTCTGCAAAGAACACTATCAAAGAGAGTAAGCAAGCAAGCTCATTCTGTACAGTCAGAAGCAGTAGAGTATATACATTTATATTATTCCAGTAGATTCCGAGACCAGCCGAGTTCCTACATACGATGTACATCTCAAACATCTCAACGTATGAGGATCAGCTCATCTGTTCACATTAATATACATAATACCTTGAAAGAAAAACTGATCCAAGCTCAGGATTAGCTAGAGACAAGCGTGGTACATTGCAATGGTGTCAGTTCTGATACTTTTGTAGGAGTTTGGCGCCCCCTGTCGATTCTCAGTAGTAATTACACTTGATAATGCAGCTTGAATACTCTGATCTATACTAATCACAGCTGGAGGCTGATGTTAGATCAGTTAGGCCTCACCGTGCTCTGCTAGGAGACACAGCTGACCCTGCATGTACGTTTAGAGACCATTTCTCAAGTAACACTGACAGAATCCCACTAGTTAATGTAGCATCAATGATCAACTCCCAGGGGCCGTAGTGCACAAATGTCACAAAGACCTGCCTGTAGGTCCAAGAATGTTGCGAAGCCCTGTAAAAGCAATGCTATTCAAAAGAATTAAGAATACAATTTACCCTCCGGTTGACTGTGATGACCCGTAGCATGAACAAAGTCAGTCATTTTAAAACAGAACCATAAAGGAGCAGGTTAGAGTAAACTAATCTTTTGATTGGCCCAAACTCAGTTGGTTTTGTACTATTTTTGTACTCCTAGACAGCAAATAGCAATGCTATTACCATGAGCAATGCTGTTGTAACCTCTCCAAGTGCAACAAACAAAAGACAGCATTGCAACTACAAGAGGAGTCTGCACGGAAACCTCACTGTAACACAACATGCTGCAAACTGATAAGACCTATACTGTGCAGTCAATTAAACATCTCCAAAAAGAACATAAAGGAAATAAAACTAGTCAGAATTTAGTCTTTCCAAGATAACGTCTGGTTGATACTGGCTAAAAGAAATAAAAACACATGGCAATGAGGCCATATTTGGAGAGAAGGCATGGTAAACTGAAAACTTTGTTTGGCCAGCAAGCAATAGCAAATAAAAGACCAAAAAACAGCCATAGCACACACTGAACCACTTTACATCCCTTGCAGGCCTGTGTAAGCCTTTATAATTCTAATAATGGAGTAATAAACCCTATGGGAGCAACTGTTAACTGTATAAATAGTCGCCAAAATGCCTGGCAACAGATTAGCCATCATGTTTAGAACTTCAGAGCACAGAGCAGACACTGAGTGAAAGTTGAGTGTTTCCAGCAACAGCTCCGGCAAAGTCCTCATCAACGCCAAGAGCTTTTGGAGTGTCTGTGACTTCTAGGAGAGATATGACCTCTCCTTAAGCATAAATCTTTCAGGGCCAATGATGAATGATGTCATGTGGTGTGCAGCGTGGACAGAGAGAGCTGTGCTTGTAGCTCTGAAACCCACCACGGCTCTTCAGCAGACCTATTATGTCTGAGTACAAGAGGCTCCTGAAGCTAAGCTGCGAGCACGCAATTCTTCTCTTTTAGCCTCGATTCCTGTTCCCTCGGTGGGCGTCCTACATGCTTTAAAAAAAGAATTGGCCTCTGATTGGAAGACAAGGCGCCCTAAAACAGAGGGGAGAGGTGGACAGAGTATACGAATACTTACGAGTGCAGACAAAGCCTACTGCTGAAATCTCCACTAACAGTAAGGCCTAAAGAGAGTATAGAGGGTCGTGAGACAGCACACACTGTACAAACACACACAGACAACCTCACTCGAAGAGCATGAAGAGCTTGGTGAAGAGTAAGAGAGACCTTGAAAATTCATGAATAAGTCGGCGCAGAAGATATGCTTGGACATAGAGTAGCTGTGCGAGCGAGAGTGTACGTGTGGACTTGTATGTGTGCGTGTTGGAGAGAACCTACCAACAGAGTCGTGTTTATATTCAAGTCTATGAGGAGTACTCAGTGAACGATGCGTGTTGTATATGTGTATGTGTGCGTCACCCCAGCTGAATCTCAGCCTGGTGACTCAAGGTGTCTCGGCGGCATTGCTGCTGGTAGCAGTGGTGCTCTTCTTCTTTGGCTGTTTCTTCACCGTCTTGGTCGTCTGATGTGCATGAATAGAGGAGAGGAAATGAGACAATGAAGGAAAGACAAAGAGAAAGGAACAGTTAGAGAGAAGTGTGAATGGTAAGCCCTGTTCTAGAACCAAACCACCAAGCCTACTGACCACATTCCAGGCCTTTTACACACAAAACACCCAGCTGTACGTAATGATTCAAAGCACATCTAGGATACAGTCAACTTGCACATTTGCATGTTTCATTCCAAAGAGCACAATTAGTCCTATTTAACAAAGTCTTGTTTAGTGCATTGCAGTGTGAGAAACATTAAATAAAATCATTGAACTGTACTGCCCAGTTTTTGATAGCATTTTTGAATGCAGCACTACTGCTTTGTTGTTTGTGTCAACATATCAAACCTCTTCATGCATCGCAACGGTACGTTTTTGTCATATCACCCATCCCTAGTAAATATACACATACAGTCCCAAAGGTTTAAACACCCCTGGTCAAATTACAAAGTTTGGTGATTTAAGTAAAAATAAGTTAACATCCTCTACAAAGAACAAAATTGTCATTTTTCTGCAAATTTTAGTGCACAATTTCTATTTTCTAGTTTAACATACTGATAAAACATAAAAAGCAAACTAACATTTTTCCCAATATGTTAAATTCTAGCAAATAAACAGTAATTATGCATTAAAATGAACAGAAGTGTGTTCTCTGTAGAGGATGTTTTAACCTATTTTTACTTTTACTTTGTTAGAAAACCAACAAAACATGTAATTTGGCCAGGTGGGCACAAATGTCTGCTGACTGTATATTCGACTGTATATAGTTAATATATACATACACATTCACAATTAATCAAGTTCATCTTATTTGCTCAAATTTGATCCTAAAGAAAGCTTTTGTTCCCCCCACTTTTTTAGCACACATCCACAGATCCATGGAACGACTATGTTTGTATTTGTGCAATCTCACAAACACTAACACACAAACTAAGACAACTGCATGACAACTGATGTCATCACTCGTGACAAAAACTGCTTATCCAATAACTTGAGAATTAAAACAGCACAAACATTACTTTTAGCAGCATAAACAGCAGAAACAAATGAGACCATTCTGGCGCCATCTGGACGTTGATGGAGGGCTGAGTGATGTCACTTATTAAAAAAAATGATTCTTTAGCATATAACTTAAGCATATAACAACACAAACATTTCCTTTAACAGCACAAATGCAGCACAAATGAATGAGGCTGTTTTGGTGCAATTTAGCCTTCAATGAGAGAACTTGAGAATCAAAATAGCACAAATGTTTATTTTAACAGCACAAACCAATACAAACACGGCACAAACGAATGAGACAGCGTTGGTGCGATTGGACGTTGATAGGGTGTTGACTGACAGTCATTGAAATTTTATGGCTTTATATATTTAATTTTTAAAAAATAATGCCAGCACAAACGTAGCACAAAATGAATGTTGGTATTTTTATTCCATTTCTGATCACATGGGGAGCCAGCTTCACAAAGGTAACTTTTAGTTTAGCTGTTTAATGATTTAAATACACAGGTCTCCAGCCAGCACTGCCCAGCGTAAGGTATTGCTTTATAGGCCAAATCTTGGAACACGAGTGCTGCTGTTGCAGATCCTGACATAGCAGCAAACAAGCAGCAAGCTGCTGGGCTTCAGCCTGCACTACTAAAGATGGTTCAGAGGTTCAACTTAGGAAAATGCATTAGCAGTGTTTTAAAAAAAAAAAAAAAATAATAATAATTGGTGTTAATAATTTATCACTATTGACACATTAACTATGACAGCTCTAATATAGATGCTTGTATACATTCATGTTGAGCAGTGTAATATCACAATAAGGATCAAGCTGAAGCTCAATCTGTGCATGAATTTGTAAACATTTTTGTATTCCTTAATGTGTGTTTCAAAGAATAAACTCTCACAGTGCATCTAAACTTGGGAAAAAAAAAAAATCGTATATTATGACCAAGAGCAGAGTGCTTGTTGGCAGCTCTCCCCGCAGCCTGCAGCAATGGCTCCGAAGACGGACGACTGCAAGGGCAAAAACTGGCACCAGTTTTCCATCACAGTCAGCTCACAGTTCATACGAACGTTTGGATACACGTCCTATTAGCTCATGACTAATACCTTCATGTCTCCTTACACTGAATATTTCATGGCACCTTTGTGAGTGAGTGTGTGAGACTGTGTGTATGTACCTCTGTCTTAGCAGCGACCGGCTTCTTGGCTGCTTTAACACTGGCCGTTCGCTTGGGTACTTTGTCAGCAGCGTCCTCATCCGAGTGCTCAGTCTTGCTGTCCGACTGGTCGCCGTCAGAGCGGGAACTAGGCAGAGATTCGCCGTCTGGCTGGATGTGTGTAGCACGAACTGAAGACAGTAAAAAGACACTTGTTAGCCCTACACTAGCATTTATTCAAACAATGCTTTAGCCAAATGAAAGTCTGATACATCAACAGGTGTGTAAATCTCTAAGCTCATAGCAAATTATGGTTTTACAAGAAACTCAAATTTCACTATAATTTGATTGAATTATTTTGGCACGATTATGTATTTTTAAAAATATACCGAATATGCAAATATGACTGAAGAATTCACAGAAGCAGTGGATTTGCATTTACATTTTTACATTTGAAAATAGTTCATATTTTAGTGAATATTATAGTTTCTCACAATTTCTTCTTATATTCCAGCAACGATACATCTATAACAATTCCTTTCTATGCATTATGAACCTATTTCCAACTTTATGTTGCACCACTGCCAGTTAAGCCCCCTAGGAAAAAAACTCTGAAACTGGGCAGAGAGGTCACAGAGCTCTGGGCTCAATTTAAAGGGCTAGTAATAATGAAAAACTGAATTTTCCTCACTTTTATGGATTAAAAGATTAGTCTAATGTTGTATGTAAACACAAATACATTCCATATAAAGCTGCAAAACAGCCCATTTTAAATTCACTGTTTCCGTGATATCATGAAAACATTTACATTCTTCTAAATGCCTGCATAATTGAACTTTTAAGATAGTTGGTTTGATGTGAAATGGTGCATTGTTGAAAAACTGCCTTAATATGGTATTGACAGAAGCAACCAACAATGTCTACAATGCAATTATAGCCATTTTACTTACTATCAAAAAACCACCAGTGAACCTACACATCTGCGATACATTTGAATACATAAAGACTATTTAGCCTTACGACACCCTGCAGAACGCAAAGGGCGGAACTTGGAAGTGGGTAAGTGCAGCGCCCGGACAGTCTGTGGCGGCACATAACAAAGACACAGCTGGATGAGTGAGAAATCCGACCGGCTCCCTCTGCATTAAAAGCCAGGTTAGATCAGGAGTCACAACCCAAATGATAAGAAGAGACATTTTGTCCTTTCAGCAAAAATCAAACCACCTTGGAAGCCACAACATTTATGTCCAGTGTGTGATAATGTGCTAGTTTAGGCTAAAAAATATAAACGAAAACGCGGACTTACTCTGCTCTGCTTTAAGCTTCAGCTATAGCCGCTTTTCTTCTAACTAAAACTTTTCCTCAAAAGTTGAGTAGTTTCTTGTAAAATGTCTCTCAGCTTTCCGCTGTTTTACGAGGCTGAAGTCGCTTCTCATACGCCAGCTTCTTGCTGAACTTTCCCGTTCCACCTTAAATTCTGACTGAGGCACAGAATGTAAAAGCGGCACCATTTAAGATGGAACGGGAAAATTAGAGAAGCGACTTCATCTTCGCAGCTTCGCATCTTTTAGTTAGTGTTTGACAGTCTCTCGTTGCAGATTTAACATACCAGGAAACCAACTGCGCTGCTTATAAGTTAAATGCGAATAAGTCTATTCGTTTCCAAATGTTCGTCTGTCTTTCTCTTTTCCTTTTTTTTCGTTCGCTACTAGCCAGGCGAAACCTCGTTGCTAGGTGACCTGCAGTCTTTTTAAAGTGCATTCCACTTTAAAGGGAAACATAAAATGCAAAAATGGGAGAAAAAGTAGGATTTGAGGGTATGGGCCGTTTAAGGTAGCACTGAGTGGAGCTTTTTTTGGAGAGGATTGTGAGGGGGGCCCAGAGTCCAACACAAAATACTAAACAAAGCTACATCTGGAAAAGCCCATGCTGGGCATGTTAGGGAGGCATATTGGTTTACAAACGCGCTCTCCTTCCTTTCTGTGATGGGCAGACATTCAAAGCTCGCCAGACCAACAAAACACGACTCTAAGCCCAAATCACAAAACTTCCATTGAACTCCTTCACATTACCATTCATAAATACGGCCGTGCTGCTGTGTGCTGCAGTCTGACTGCAGGATAACAGAATCTCCATTGATCCTGTTTACTGTAACTGATCTCAGAGGAATTCTAAGTGCATGCTTTCGATGAAAGGCAAATGTCACGGTGTTTAAACTGGGCCACAAATATTCAGCTGGACCTCAACAATATGTCCCTCTCTTTTCTCTCCCACTCTCATTCTTTTGCGCACCCATAGCACATGACTAGGCCACCCTCCCGCTCCCAGCTTTTTCACTGTCTCTCGCTCTTTGAAATCACATGCTGGTCACATCACCATCAGCATAAAAACGAGCTGAGACAATGGCTGCCTGCAGGGCTCCACTGAGTGAATCAGCAAGGCTTACTCATGCTATACAGCAGTTGTGCGCTGCACTCTCTGCTCAGAGCAGGTGGATGTGTGCTGTTGTGATCTCAGTATAGCTATTAATGGAAAAAAGTTATTATCGATTCATATTATCGATTCCAGGGGACGCAAACCTAAATGTCCATAGCCATAATGTATCTGATAAATAAGACATGAAATACACTGCATTAATAAGAAAGAGATGTTAAAATGTGTGTCAGAAGTCATTCAGGTCTGTACCAGTGCAGGCCTACAATTCACTGTAGTAATGTTCAACTGTAAATATTCACTCTGAACCGAGCGAAAATGTTATTATGGAAAATTGTCTTGTGCGTTAAATTGTCCATCCTGTTATGATGTTTTTCAAGTTTTTTTTTTTTTTCCTTCTTTTATTATTATTATTTCCAATTAATATATTGTCACTGTTGGGACAAAACATTGTATTAAAATTTAATTTAAAAAAGGCCAGTTGGCTTTTACAAAATGCCAAAATGGAGCTACAGAAATGTTGTGTTTCCCCATTTATAGGCTATACTTCGTCACCCCTCTAACGCATGTTGAGGGTCACTCAAATATATCACTCTTTTTCCTGGTGGTCATTTCCATGATCTAAACCTTTACTTTGGTCAAGACCATAATGTGCTTCACATCTGAAAACAAAAACATGGGAGCTTCAACATTCCCTTATTTAACGGCTATTTGAACTAATTTTGAAATAAGTAAACAAAAGCTGTGCGTTTAACCGTGGTGGTCCCCCCAGGTTTGTTTCGGACCTGTCAGACTAACATGGCATCAAATCCCTTAACGTCCACTTAAAGTTAAGAACTGTAGAATTTTTTGTGTTTCAGTAAAAGTAACCATTCTGGAGATTTTGTATGTTGAAATTACACTACCTGTATGTGATAAACACTTAAAAGTAACCTCATTTTTTCATAACAGTGGGGGCTTTCCAAAGCTGATTCAATATATCGCTGTTGTTGGAAGCAAACCTTTCCAAAATGGTAACTTTACAGGAAAAAGAAAAAACCTACTTTACTTCTAATGTAAGTCAATGGAACCAGACTTGTTTACAAGCCATTTTGGGCCGTTTCTTTTGGTCCATTCTTTATGAAATTTGCACACAATGTAAAGAGCAACAGGTACTTTCAAAATATGTCAAAAACTGAAAAACAAAAATGGAGATACAATGTTTTCTACCGACAGCAGCGATGTTAGTGTTAGTACTTTAGTGGCACTTTGTTAGGCTAGCTTGTTTTACCTTAAAATTAAATTATTAATTAATAAACAAAGTATAATTCTACTGTCAACATATAAACATACAATAAGCCTGTGCTTTCATGCGTATTTGAGCTGCTGTATATTATACCACATGACAGCGCACCAGCATGTTTGGTACATCTCACTGTGGTGTGTATACTGAGTACTGAGCCTGTGTGTGTGTGTGTGTGTGTGTGTGTGTAACAGTTCAGACAGTGAGGGACTGTCATGCCCGAGTGTGAGCGTGTGCGTACCCGAGCGCGTGGCTGTTTTAGCACGGGGCAGCGTGGCAGCAGTGTGTGTCTCATCAGTGGGATCCAGCTGCAGCTCCTCCTCGTTCTGAATGAGCGTCAGATCCTGCATGCTGAAACTGCGCAGCTTCTCCGACAACACACCCTGGCCCTGAGCAAACATCACACATATTACACACTTACATAATTCACATCAACACAAATACTAATGTACATATATATACCTGGAGCCGTCACTACCAACTGTAATAGAAATAGAGTAATCTAACAATCATTCTGACAACTAATAATAAAAGAGGGCCAATAAAATGGACTTAAATGAAGAGCAACAACCCAGATACCAGGTAACCTTTAAAATATTCCAAAATATATTAAAGAAAGAAAAACAAGGAAGGCTTAAAAATATTTATTTGGGCTGTCAAAAGAGTAACAAGAGTTCATTGCGATTAATCACATTGTGTTGTTGATCGCAGTTAATCGCATTTGATTTATTTGTGCAAATTTGACCAACAAGTGATGTTATATTTTGAAAGCAGTGTATTTTGCAACAGCTTTATGAGTTGACAAAATAACCTTCATCAGAATGTATGTATTAATTTAAACAATTCAATAACATTATTTTCATACTGTGAACACATTCTCATCACCAACGTCGGTAAATGTATTGAGACTAGGGCTGGGCGATATGGCCCATAAATAATTATCAAATAATAATAAATGTCAAATTGTTATTTTTTTCAGGTTTAAAGGCTGTTTTTTTGCTCCTGAGTGGTTAATTGTCGTTTTAAACTATGCTTTATGGTCAGAACATGACAAACACTTGCCAAACAGTGGAACATTTCACAAACCTGTCAGGGGAGAGTGGGAGAAAGTTTTTACCAGCTGGCACAGCATGGCTGCGATTTTTATATTCATATAATAATATTCATAATTTAAAAAGAAAATATGTTTTTAGCTGTCTGGTGACGAGTGCTAGGCCACCTGGTAACAGGTGCTAAACTGTTTAGTTTCTCAAAATCAGCTTAGTACGGACAGCAAACATTAGCTTGCACGGTACGTCAGCGATGGATCACAGTATGCAGACACCAGCAAGCAGAAATCCAGTACGTTTAAACTGAAATCCGTGCTTTTTGTCTTGTTTGATTTAGAGTAACATCAATTCGCCGTGCTGTGCGAGTGACAGAGCGCTGCTTCAAGTTAGCCAGCTGCTATAACAGCTAGCCTGGAAAGATAGTGTTCTCCCGCTCTCCAATGCCTCACAAAAAACAGAATCCTCAGTTTACTTTCGTTTAAATCAGGGCTGTAACTGGCATTAACCCACTCCTGTGTTTCACTTTCATTGCTTGTGAATGCACTAATACTAAAATATGACAGAGCTGTAACACTGCTGTAGTTGTGAGAAGCAGACGTAATTTAACGCTGCTAAAGCTTGTTAGGATGTACAGAAAGAGGTGAGTTCACTGTAGGCCAGTACAGTTACGCCACTGCTCTCGTCACTCACACTTGGTCACAGGAGAACAGATCGCCTGTCGCTCCACTCAAACAGGGAACGTCTAACCCCATGTTTCAAACATCGCCAAAGTGTTTTTGGAGACTTATTTTACTTGTCGTCCCCTCCCTCTTTAATCATGTCAAAAAACTCGGAAGTGCGCCCTCTCATGGCGACAGCAGAGTAGTGTCCCTTTCCTTGCAGTACAAAACACCACCAGGGCTGTCGCTAGAACGTGGAAGTGTGAGAATTACCTATTATATTGAACCTTTATCAAATATTTCTTATTATTTCTATCGAGGAAAGTTATATTGCAATAATTATTGTCATTGTTTTATCGTCCAGCCCTAATTAAGACATTTGTCCACGACATACATTTCCTAATTTGTTAGAACATGACTCTTAGTAATATTTCAAAATAGCAGCACACAAGAACAGTCCTCATATTTAGACTGATATTAATTTGTAGATGAATAAACACAGACTATAAGGCCTCACCTTAGTGGCAGCTGTGACCGCTGCTGTAGCTGCAATGTTCAGTCCCCTCTTTCCAAATCGCATCATGGTCTCATAGCTGCGGTCCTTGGCCTGAGTAATGTATTCATCAATCTCCTACAACACAAACACATGTGCACATATGCCCATGAACAACATGGTCATCTTTGGTTAGTATGCCAAACAAATGCTTCATAAACAGGCAGTACCTTCTCTTTGTTGGACAGCGTGGGGTGCACAAACTTTCGGTAAAGCACACTAGAGCCCTTTGTGTACGGGGACAGCAGCCAGATCACAAAGGCAATCTTCAGTTCAAAATAAAACGGAAACCTGTGGAAACATTGGTTTAGAACATGTGACACAGACAACTTACACTGTATGTCCAAAAGTTTGTCACCTACTCATATAATATTTCTGCCAAAATCAGACAATTAACTGGGAGTTTGTCCACTCCTTGCTACAGCTTGCACTCTTGTCTTAACCATGTCGGTTATTTGGACTTGTTTTAAATTCTGTTAATCCTTTCCCCACTCTGTGTACTCTGTTCATGAACTGTCCCCTTAAAAACTTACTACTGCGAGTGTAGTCACATGACTCCACCACATCCACTCTGCGACATGGAAGCTAAGGCTACGTTCACACAGCAGGTAAAAGTGGCCCAAATCTGATTTTTTTGTTTGGCTGTTCACATTATCTTTTAAATGTGATCTGTATGCAACATCAGTCTGAACAGATCAGCTCCTAAACTGACCTGCATGCATAAAAGAACAGAGCTTCACGCGGCTCATCCAGAGGTAAACAATCACGACTATGAACGAACGCTAGTCGCTCCTGGAGGTTTCAGTTTCATCTTCGCCAGCATCACAGGAGCCATCATGAAGCCTCACTTCTTTGGTTCGTGTCCTCGAATTCTTTAAACTGTGACGCTGCAGCCTTGTTCGGCCATTTCTTTTAAAATCTCTTCAAACACGCAGAGTTTTGGTAAGTCTCTCTAATTTTTGCACAGAAATATCACCCAAATGTTTATGAGGTCTCAGCAGCACGAAATTATGAGTTGGACTGACGTAAAAGCCGCGTGAATTCCGATCTGGCTGTTGAGGCGATTTACATTAAGATATGCAGAGCAAATTTACAGTACAAACCTTATCAGTGAACTATGAGGGCCAAAACCCACAAAAAAACAATCGTTCATTATTCATAATCGAGGTAAAATATTTAATTAATCGTGATATTGATTTGAGGTCCTATCACCCAGCACTACTACTAAACTGGCAGTTTATTATGTTAAAAGCTACATAACCAACTGGCAGGTTAGTCCGCTAAAAGCTACATAACCAACTGGCAGGTTAGTCTGCTAAAGGCTACATAACCAACTGGCAGGTTAGTATGCTAAAAGCTAAATAACCAACTGGCAGGTTAGTCCGCTAAAGGCTACATAACCAACTGGCAGGTTAGTCCGCTAAAAGCTACATAACCAACTGGCAGGTTAGTCCGCTAAAGGCTACATAACCAACTGGCAGGTTAGTCCGCTAAAGACTACATAACCAACTGGCAGGTTAGTCCGCTAAAGACTACATAACCAACTGGCAGGTTAGTCCGCTAAAGGCTACATAACCAACTGGCAGGTTAGTCCGCTAAAGGCTACATAACCAACTGGCAGGTTAGTCCGCTAAAGGCTACATAACCAACTGGCAGGTTAGTCCGCTAAAGGCTACATAACCAACTGGCAGGTTAGTCCGCTAAAGGCTACATAACCAACTGGCAGGTTAGTCCGCTAAAGGCTACATAACCAACTGGCAGGTTAGTCCGCTAAAGGCTACATAACCAACTGGCAGGTTAGTCCGCTAAAGGCTACATAACCAACTGGCAGGTTAGTCTGCTAAAGGCTACATAACCAACTGGCAGGTTAGTCTGCTAAAGGCTACATAACCAACTGGCAGGTTAGTCCGCTAAAGGCTACATAACCAACTGGCAGGTTAGTCCGCTAAAGGCTACATAACCAACTGGCAGGTTAGTATGCTAAAAGCTAAATAACCAACTGATGGTTTAGTATGCTAAACGCTACATAGCCAACACCAACAATAAAACATTTTGCAGACTAATGAGGGCTGGTTATTGTTTTAAAACCTAATACATAAAATGGTACCCAGTCTATGTTTCTGGTGGGAGTCATTTAAATTAGACATTAAGGCCTGAAAAACCCAAAGCCCCGCTGATGAAGTATGATCACTCTCCTACTCAGGGACAAGAGCTGATCAAGAAAGTTCCTTCCTCTGCTCATATGTTTACAGCTTAGAATCATATTCAGGCATAACATCCCACAGAAGAGCTTCTGATATTGTTTATATTCTATTGCTACTGTTTTACTAAATCGTTAACATGAAATACATCAAGCTTTTCTCAAGCATTAAAACATTTGAAAAAATATTTGAAAATCCTATTTGTTGCAGCCATGTAATTATTAAACATGCTCATCAGGAACTCAAATAAACTGGTAAAATAAATTCATTTAATTCATTTCAAATGAATAAATTCATTTTCTGTGACATTTTTAAGCAATATATCAGCCTGAACTGTGCACGTGTTCCATCCATTACACAGGAAACAGATGAGACCTAAAACATTTTTAGCCTCACTGATGTGATAATCACAAGTGCTGCCTGTCAGTGGGATGTGAGTGTGAGGAGGGAGGTCGACGCACCAGGAAAGAACCATATCTGTGATCGTCTCTGCTGTCGTAAAGAACGCAAACACTATCCAGTACATCATCCATTTGACCTGAGGGAGACACACAGACATAAACAGCATTAGTCAAGACACAAAGTCATAACAAACACGTGCCGATGCACGTTTCGTCACGTGCTGCACGTATACCTCACAGTACCTTTCTAGCACTGACTAACATGCATGGCTGATTTAATGCAGACACAGGGGACTGCAGAGGGGACACGCTTTTAAAATGGTTTCAAAATGCACAATTACAGCTGTCGACATTTGAAGGCCACTTTTTAGCTGGTCATTTAGGGGGTGGGAGGTTTACTGGTATAACGGTGAACACTGATGAGCTGTTCTCCTGTGATATAGATTACATCATATTGTATTTATAGAGAAAAGCCTGAAAATGCTAAACCACATCAGCCCCACCCCCTAGAGAAACTTAAACACATTTAAATTGAGCTGCAACCACAAATTGATTAAACTGATAATGACAAACGACAAACATTAGTTAGCTTGACAGTGCTTATGCTTCACATCTACCACTACATTACTCCACTGAGATATATAGATAGCGGAGATTGTAGCACAGGGTTGTACACGACCCAAATAGTCAACAATATGACCTAAAATCTGGTAACACTTTACTGTAAATTGCTGTTCAAAAGACCACGACACCTACATAAGCTTGCAATGGCAACTGACATAACTCTACATAACTGTTTATAAATGCTTATTCCAACAGGCGTCATCCGTCATACAGGCTACTTTAGCTAACTTTGATGAAAAATGGCAAACGTAACCTTATAGCGAATGACGCCTATTGGAGTAAGTATTTATAAAGATTTATGTAGGATTATGTCAGTTGTCAAGACAAGCTTATGAACAAGTGTTACCAAGACTTGTGTAAAACCAAGTATGTCATAATTAATGTATTTAATCAATGAATCTAATAAATGATTATATCAATTAATTTAACATAAGTGACGCAGTAAATGCTATACATCATATTCCTAAATGAGCGCTAGATCAGCGCTACACGCCTATAAACTGACACTAGGGCATAACCAAAGCAGAGAGAGACAGAAGCTAAAAATGGCGTCTGTGCCCAGGACACAGCCGGAGCCAGCCAACAGAGGGCCGTCTGAGCGAGGGGTTTCCATGGCAACCTGTGAGAGGAGACTCCAGGAAACGAGAGCTAAGCATCACTCTGTTTTTCCATATCAAAAGCACGTGCTCATATCAAATCAGCCCTTTAGGTGTTGTAGCTGCCTCTTATCTGCTGATTCTTCATCGCACAGCTGATCTGACGAGGCACAAACTAGTGAATAACACAATTATCAAAATTTATTACATTTCAATAAACTGCACAGCTGACAAAACTGTGTAATTAACAGAGGCAGAAACTGAATCTGCTGTTTTAATTGTGTTTCAATTACATCCATGCACTGATTAATTTGTACTTGTGCACCTGAATTTCAGTCAGTGAGGACACAAAAATACTCCTTAAAGGATTACTACCTTGCTGCTTTATTAATGAGTTATTTATCATATCATATTATATCGGCCTCCATAAAGTGACACTGGGCATGACTAGACAAAAACAAACAGAATAGCGCTGCTCGTTGTAATACTCACATATTCCTTCACGTTTTTCGTCTTCACAGCCTTATAGGAAGAGTACGCTGGGTAGAGGGTCCCAAAGGCCAGGCTGTTGAGGAGGAGAGGCACATTAGTCTATGGCCCAAGACAGACGCACTCTGTTCCAGTAAGCTCAGTCCAGCTCATCTTACAGTGACAGAGCTGTTTCACACATCTTAAATTAGAGTTTAAAGATTTTTGCTCAAGTCGCCTAATCTAGGCTAAGCTGAATCACACCATCTGCTGCAAAAAGAACCAAGTCACAAAAACGTGGTTGGCCACGCTGACGCAATGTTTTACAACCACTGTACCTTTGGCTCGCACCCTTGATCTACTGTATGACCAAGTTCTTAAGCAATCAACTGGTTTCTCAGAAACGGGACAATTAGGCCAGGCACCCAGAATGCAACACTAAACGTCTCACAGCAAAGCTATCTGTACAAACAGCTTTTACAATACATGAGTGGTGGGTAAATTAAACAGCACAGAACTGGCAGAATTTCTAAAACGGAATTGTAACCTTGGCTAATGGAGCACCACCATAAAACTGTAGTTCTCTATTATAGCGCTGTGTAAACAAATACTCCACTAGAGATGCCAGAATCCATAACCTGATTAGACCATCAAGGTCTTAGTTACATGATGTCAAGCACAAAATATGGGGTCTAATGTTAAGTGGTTCCCTACTTTATAGAAAGAGAAAAAAAAAAACGGAAGAAAGAAAATATGAATCTGCTCGAAAAGCAGACACAAAGAGACAGATGCACAGCCTCCGAGCCACACATTCAGACACGTGCTCTCACACATACGCACACACGCACATGGGAGCTCATCCGCACCCACACACACACCCACACCCTGGGTGCTGTTTTGTGCTGATGTGACAGTATCCCAAAACCTCTGCAAAGAGAGATCTAACAGAGGCCGCTGAAATACAGCCCTGGTCTCGCCTACTGACTGAAAACACTGCAGACATCGGCTGACTCTAAGTGTGTTTGGTTGTGTGTGTGTGTTTTAAGTGTGTTTAAAGCACTTCATTTAAAACAGCACTATGTAACATTTCTTATTAAAATTGATAGAAATAGCATTACTAAGTCAGGAGGAAAAAATATGCTAAAATATGGTGCTGTGTGTTGTAAAGCCTGAAATAATCACTTAAAAGTCAGAGGCTTCAGGTCAGATTTCACAGCAGTTTACATATTAACATCAGACCCATAAGCTCAAAAAAGAAGGTTTGGCTCGACGTTTAGGTCTCAAATGCAAAATCAACACTACACTGATGAAGATATGACGACAATAGTAGATAAATCACTTACATCCTTCACCGAATTTTAACTGAGTTCTCTTTAAATAGTCTTTCAATGCACTTACATTCATCAGATTTATCCACTGGGGATGGGGGTCTGAAGCACAACTCGTTACAAAATGTTATTCCATATGCTACTTGCAATTACACGTTTCCACCACAGAGGTCTCCAAATCCCCAAATCTTACATAGCGCAGCCTTTAGATGAGCATTTAAAAGTAGGCTATCATGCTCAAACACTCTACGGCCCCACAGGAAGCTTACAACACGACATCTTTTACAGCCTGTCCCAAAGTCTGGTTGAGATCACAAGTGTGTACATATGTATTGTATCTCTGTAGGACAGGCAGTTGGGGAACATTCTTCTCCAATATTTCCCCAATTGTGTTAGAACATCAAAACGATGAACTGTGGGATATGCATCGATGAGCCAAAAACATTATCGCCACTTACAGATGAAGCGAATATCATTAATTAACTCGTTACAGTGGTGCATGTCAAGGTCTGGGATATCGGTAAGCGAGCAGTGGGTTCTCAGTGTCAATGTGTTGGATGCGGGAGAAATAAGCAGACGTGAAGACCTGAGTGACTTTGACAAGGGCTAAAAATTTACAGCCAGGCAACTGGGTCAGATCATCACCAAAACAGCAAGGCTTGTGGTGAATACCTACCAACAGCAGTCCCAAGAAAGACAAACCATAAAAGGGTGAGAGGATGCTGTGCAGCCAAGGGTTCATCAATGCGAGACTGCAACGAAGGCTATCCTGTCTGGTATGAACAGACAGAAGAGCTACTGTGGCACAAGTCAAATAAAATGAAATTATATTTGTTTCCAATTCCACCCACTAGCTAGGACCCCCCCCCCATCACACGATACCATGGAGGGCAAAGGCTAACACAGGCTTCCTTCAAGACCTGTGAACCGCAACCGCATCTTTAACGCGGGGATGGGGGTGTGGGGGATTGGGGGTTGTCATCCTACCCACTCAGAGGGAGCAAGGCTAATAGTGCTCTCTTGGACTCCCAGCCACGGATGGCCGTAGCATCACCAGGGATCAAACTCGCGATCTCCTGATGATAGGACCAACGCTTAGATGGAAGTCACAGAAAATCTGAATGGTTACGGGAGGAATGTTTCTCAACACACTGCGTATCGCACCCAGCTGCGTACAGTGGTGCGTAGCTATAGACCGGTCAGGAGTGCCCATGCTAACCCCTGTCCACAGTTGAAAACACCTACAAAAATTGGACCTTGACCGCAAGAATGTCACTTGGTCCCGCTTTCCTCTATTTCATGTGGAAAGCTGGGTACATGTGTGCTACTTACCTGGGGAAGTAACGGCCCCAGGATGCACTGTGGGAACCAGATAAGCGTGTGGAGGGAGTGTGATGATCTAGGCAATGTTCTCCTGGGAAATCCCTGGTCCAGGCATTCTTGTGTACATCAATTTGACACATGCCACCCACCTAAACATGGCAGCATTCCATAATAGGAGAGGCCTCTTTTAGCAAGCATTGTGCCCTTTCACACAGCACACTTTGGGAACTGTTTGAGGAACATGATGAAGAGTTTAAAGTGTTGCCCTGGCCTTCACATTCCCCAGATCTTGATCTGACCAAGCATCTACAGGATGTGATGAAACTAAAAGTCAGATCCATGGTGACTCCACCAAGTTACGGTAAAGGATCTTCTGCTAAGGTCTTGGTACCTGATACCACAGGGCACCTTCAGAGGTCTTGTAGGGCTCATGTCTCAGCTCTCTTGGAGCTGTTTTGGCAGCACAAAGAGGACCCACAGCATATTAGGCATATTAGACATAATGTTTTGGCTCATCAATGTATATTTAGCCCAATCCTGCTTTAATGTGGTATTTGGGAAAATCAGTGTGGGCATTTAGTGTGCATCATTCTTTCTAACACTTGAGAAACACTCAGACATTTACTGGAAAAAAATCCAATCCATTTTCTACTGAAATTGGCCCGATACCTATATAAACCAACATGCCATCTCTAGAGCATGTGCTGATCAGCATAAGTGGCTGTACATTCTGTTACTGTGCATCATTGTGCACACAGGTGGACTCACTGATCAGTGTACGGTAGCTGTATACTCTGCCTTTGTGTGTGCACATACGGTCTGTGATCTGCCATGTGCTGATCCGCATACACAAGCTGTGTATTCCGTCTTTATGTGTGCTTTATTATAAGCACCCATGTGAGTGCGCATGTGGCCTGTGTGTAAGTGTGTGTAGGCTTCTGTGTGTGGTGCCCAGTGAAGCGAGCAGTAGCGTGGCGGTACTGTGCGCCTGGTGCGTGGCAGAACACATGCACTGTGTCCCACTTAGACTCGTCCAACTCCCACAATGCCTCTCTGCTCCTCTCCTCTCCAGGACCACGTCTCTCCCGAGCTCACGCTATGCGTCGAGGCATGGATGCAGATCCATCAGATAAATGATGACCACTCTAACCGAATGTCATAGGCAGTAAAAGCCTTACCTCAGTCCATATGGCCATATTAGAGCAAGCAACTCGGCCTTGCTCAGCTCTTCCTCCTCGCCAGTGATAAACAAGCATCAGAAGGAGAGACAGGCCAAGGCCTTCAGGTCTACATAAACTAATGACGGCCTAACCAAAGCAGCCTATATGGAACAGGGCCATCAGTCTGAGAGGGGAAAGTGAGGGCTTGAGGTTTGTCATTACTGCAAACACCTGACTCTTATTTAATCAAACGTTACTCAAAAGGCAAAACTACAGAACTGAACTGACTACAAATGTGCTAGTCATCACAAACGGATTAAAGCCCCTCATTACGTAACACTGAGAGAGGGGCTGAGCTCGGGTGGGCCTTTTTTATGGGGAAAAATACCCCTTAAGATAATGTTCAGGCCACATCTCTGTCCTCAGGTTAACAGGAATATCAGCAGCCTTGCTGAACATCAGGGTCAGTGCCTCATTACGAATAACGTCAGCTAAATACACGTTAAACAAAAAATTAGTTGACAATTAATGGAATTAGGGTGGACATTGTTTTCATTGGGAAAGATGGCTAACGGTAAAGCTAAAACTGTCAGTTTAACGACGACTAGCGGTGCATATGGCAGCGCCTCTTCTGAATAAACGAAGCTTAAGTCAGCTTCTCGTTCGAATTTTCCCGTTCCACCTTAAATGGTGCAGCACTTACAATCTGGCGCCTCATGTAACTGCTGCACCATTTAAGGTGGAACGAGAAAATTCGAATAGGAAGCGTCAGCCTCGTAATGAATGAAGTCATTGGTCGCCGTTACATTAGCATTCCTGTTGCTAAGTTAATTGTTTTGTGGGTTTGAAAAAAAAATATTACATGATAAACAGAGAAAGTGTCGATAAATGTGTAAAATTAAGCGTTTCTATATTATTTGAGATGTTTTTCCAGCGCTGAAGCCATTCACTGAGCATCGTGTGGAGAATCCGCAGAGCCTGATAACAAACAGGCAATACAAAATACACAGATACTCACACCACCATCCGCGAAATGATCCACGACACCATCTTCACTGTTGTGAGGTTTATCTAACTTCTCCTTGGGAGTTACAGCCTGGCACCCATTCCGAAAAGAGGGTTTTCCACGAGGTAGCTGTCTGTCTGTCTGGCTACTCTACTGAAGCCCGGGTCTCTTCCATTAGCCTGCAGCTTGCTGTCTGCAATCTGCTGCATGTTGGTGCTCAGGCGAACCCATCCTGATTCTCTTAAAGGGGACAGTGTCCTCTTAAAGCGGTTTGTCCTTCAGAGCAAAAAAAGAGCATCAGACATAATATGGCTTTATCCGGCTAATGACAAGTCTGTACTTGTCTGCTGAATCCTCCGAGACCCCCTCTCACCAAACCCAGTCCTCTGTATTCAACTGATCATTATGTCCAAAGGTGTTTTTAAGATGTACCACTATTTCAGCAACAGCTACATTAAATATAAAAACTCAGAAGACATGTGTAGGTTCACTGTTTGGATAGTAAATAAAATGGCTATATTTATATTATATTTTTGCAGACAAATCTGACATGTTGATTTCAAATATATGGCACATATTAGCATATATAGATTTGTCTTTTATCCAACTTACTCACATATGGATTTATATGTGACATGTATGCCAACTTTTTTGAAATAGGCCATTTTCAAATATGGGACACACATTTCAGGGATATACAAATATATATAAACATTTATGTATAACACATTCAACAATAATATATGACAGAAAGCATTAATCATATATGGATGGCATAGAAAAGCCTTTCTGTGTTTGTCTTAGACAAATGTATGATATATATATATATATATATATATATCGCTGTAGGTAAAAACCTACTTTACTTTTAACGTAAGTCAATAGAACCAGACATCTTCCCGAGTCATTTTGGGGCATTTTCAAATTATGTCAAACTGTGATATATATACACCGATCAGGTATAACATTATGACCGCCTCCTTGTTTCTACGCTCATTGTCCATTTTATCAGCTCCACTTACTATATAGGTGCACTTTGTAGTTCTACAATTAGAGACTGTAGTCCATCTGTTTCTCTGCATACTTTGTTAGCCCCCTTTACCCTGTTCTTCAGTAGTCAGGACCCCCATAGACCCTCACAGAGCAGGTACTATTTGGGTGGTGGGTCATTCTCAGCACTGCAGTAACACTGACGAGGTGGTGGTGGTGTGTTAGTGTGTGTTGCGCTGGTACGAGTGGATCAGACACAGCAGCGCTGCTGGAGTTTTTAAACACTGTGTCCACTCACTGTCCACTCTATTAGACACTCCTACCTTGTCAGTCCATCTTGTAGATGTCAAGTCAGAGACGATAGTTCATCTGCTGCTGCACAGTTTGTGTTGGTCATCCTCTAGTCCTTCATCAGTGGTCACAGGACGCTGCCCACAGGACGCTGTTGGCTGGATATTTTTGGTTGGTGGACTATTCTCAGTCCAGCAGTGAAACTGAGGTGTTTAAAAACTATCCTATCACCACCACTTTAAACAAATCTGAGATCTGAGCTGCTAAGTTTCTCTGACATTGTTTACATCTTATCCAACATTTATTTCAAAATTGAAGGGATTGAAAAGGGATTGCAACGACTCAAAACTGATAATTCAATCTTTGACATCTTTGATGTTTCTATTTTAGAAATTTGGTGATTCAGAATTGTTCACAGTGGTGGTGATAGGAAGCAGACATCTAAAGCGTTTAATGCCTCTAAAAGCTACATCACAGAAAGTTTTTTATATGAAATGGTTATGAATTTGCTGCCTGATGTTTTGTTTTCTGATTTTAAGAGAAGAATTTGGCCTGAAATGTATTTTTTAAAATCCAATCTTGGCGGAGAGGTACACGCAGGGCGTTGTGAGGAAAAACAGTCCCCAAAGAACATTTAATTTTCCAGATGTACCACTATTTTACCAACAGTATCAACATTATAAATAAAAACTCAGAAGACATGTAGGTTCTCTGAATATTTTGGATAGTAAATAAAATGGCTATTTTTGCATTGTAGACATTGTGACCCCTGGTTCCTATCAGCACCACTGTGAAGAAATCTGAGCTGGTAAGCTTCTCTAGAATTAACCATTTCGGACAACTCAATGATTTTATTTACATCTGAATGATTTAATTATGTAGAGATGTTGAAAAAAACTCCTCTATGAGAGTTTTTCCCACCTTTACTGCAATAACAGCCTTCTGGGAAGGCCACATTAGATGTTGCTGAACTTTGCTGTGAGAATCTGACTGCATTCAGCCAAAAGAGCATTAGTGAGGTCAGGTACTGATGGATGGATTAGTTCTGGATCACAAACATTACTCCAACTCATCCCAAAGGTATTGGATGGAGCTCCATCACTATAGAAGAAAACAGTTCCACTGCTTCACAGCCCAGTGCTGGGCTACAAACTGAACGCCATGAGCATGATGACCACACACTATGACCACAAGATTGGCCAAATTAAGAAAATCTTCGAATGCCTCCTGGCTTATATAGAACAAGCAGTTTCATGTTGTTACAGAAGGGAGCTTTTCCTCACCTCTGATTTTTAAACACATCTCTGTGCACCAGCAAGAGAGGAAAAAATATTCCCCTGAAACCTAATATCAGCTAGCTTAGAGACCCTCCCTGACACCACATTTCACGTCACAGTACGGCAGAAAAAATATTTCTGATTCTTATTAAATTTAAAAAGGTAATTTAGCACATAGTAAATGTGGGCTGACAGGCCTGCTGACTGCAGAACAGCACTTCTTGAACATCAGTACATGCAATATAAAGATTTATTGCCTGTTAAGTTTTAGAACCCATCTCAAAACTTAACATACAGGGTCACCTCCGTACTAAGAAAATTCTCTTTTCCATCTTAATCAATAAACAAACTATTCCACTACTAACAACTCTCTAGTTTTTGTGTAGCATTTTTATTAATGAAAAAGCTGACTTGGTTTACTTTTGCATGCCTGCACGTTTGTTAATTGAGGCATACAAAAAAAAAAACCAGATGACTGATGCAGAAACAATGCCATGTAATCATGTACAACGTATCAAAATGCTTTGTTTATTGCAGTGTTATCAAGGAACCACAAAAGCTTTTATTGAACAGAAATGGCTGAATTCTGATCAAATTTAGTGTGTACCATTTACAAAAAACAAGGCCGAATTCTTTTTTGTAAACTTTATTTTGAAAAAAATCATACACACTGCTAAGATCAATATATATATTGATACATATTAATGACCAGTAGTCCATAACTGGAATTCTCGATTTTTGAATGACCATTTCTCAAAACCAGTCTTCCTTAGCAATCACCATGAGTGACTCAAATTACTTAATGGCCTATAAAAAAAACAGAAAGAACAAGACGTTTTCATTTTAGTTGAAAATAAAAACTAAAAATACAAAACTTTGGTCTGGCTCCCTTCAGAACTCATGTCCACCTCGACCAAAAGGTGGAGGGATTATTTTTTTTTCTGTTCTCATGCTTGTCTGCCATCCTTTCTCCTCCTTTACAGACAGAGTTCTCCTCTACGGAAGAAAACAAACCGCTAAAAAAAAGCCCAGTGCTCACATTTACTCAAAAGGGGTAATTAAGCTTATCCCTCTTAAAAAACCCATGAGCTTCTTTTCCAACAGTCCAACAAACTTTGCACATTTAAAAAAAAATGAACAGACACTGATAGTTTAAATACAGAGGGGGAAAAATGAATTAAGTCGTTTGAAAAAACTAAATGTTTTTCATAACACTGATGAAGCATGTTTCTTCATCCTAGCCTGAAGCTGAGAGAAGTCTCAAATTGAAGAGCTTGTTCTGTGAGCACAATGGACCTCTCCAAACTTCTTTATAAGTGCCCCTTCAACACCCCCAGTCTTTCTGTCATCTCTCACATATGGCCCAAACATGGGTTCGGGGTCAGCCATGGAGAGGTGGAACTACGATCGGACTAGCTTCGACTCGTGAGCTTTCAGCGTTCCCACAGCATCCTTCACAGCGTGGTAGATGATGTTCTTCACCTGTGAGAGTCAGAATCAACACAAACACTCAAAAATCTATTCACAAACAGAACTCGCTAACAAAAGAGCACACAGACTTAGGCCTGTCAAGTTCGTGGCATTTTCGCTGATAATTAATAGCTGATGATAAATTACCATATAAATAATTGCAATCAATTATGTCTTTTTCCAGTCAGTGTATGATAAAATACATACATATAGTGGCAAAATTGGCCGATTGGCTATCTTGCTTCGTTGCGGTCAATACTAAGTAGCAGCAAACTGACAAAAGATGCAGCTCAATAAACAAACCCTGCCCACCGTTGCCCTTTGAAGGTGTCCAGTCAAAATTTATAATTCCTGTTTTTTGTAAGACCCATATTATGTCAACAGATACGATTTCTTCTTCTTTTATTTACATATACTTACTTCAGTCCAACAAATTAAAGCTAACCCAATTGCTATGTAAACATGTAACTTAAAGCTAACAAGTGGGGAAAATAATACACAGTCGTAGGCAACAATCTGAACACTCCCAGTCAAATTACATGTTTTGTTTATTTCCCAAGTGAAAATAAGTCAACAGAATCTCTACAGAGAACAAACTTGAATACAGCATTTAGATTTTGCAATTTTCAGGGCAGAATTTCTGTTTATTTGCCAAATGTAACAAATTGGGGAAAAAATAAAAATATAAAAAGTGCCATAACTTTTACACAGGTCTCATTTTTTTTGTTTTATTTTTCCCCCAATATGTTATATTTATATGCAGAAGTATGTTCTCTGTTGAGGATGAGCACTTTTCAATTCAAGTTTAGAATTTTGAAAAATGTAATTCATTAATTAATTAATAAATAAACACATACATACATAAATACAGATCACTACATACCTGTAGCTTGTCCTCGTGATTAGTGTGAGTGTTGGAAAGATGCCGGAACTCCTGCGTCAGTCTGAAGCAGTGCTTCACGTGCTCCGGCGACACAAAGTCCTCTGCCACCTTAATGCAACTGTACAGGTTGTGCACCTGGGCAGACCATGATATTAACTGAGTTTTATTTTGCCAAGAGTTGGGATGTAAAAATACACACATGCATTATAAACCGTGATGTATTAGTCTGAAGGCGTTGATTCCACTGAATTAATTTTAGAATGTAAAAACTAATATCATGAAAAAAATCAACAGTATTTAATAAAGTATT